TCCCCCCCCCCCCTCCTCTGCTTTGACTAGAGTGGGGATCAGACTCAGTTATCTTGGGTTTTGCCACTCATAATCAGAATGAAAGGGGTGTGGGAGCAAAATTTAAACTGATTAGCAGAAACTGCCAATGATGTCAAGTGCTTTGTGTTAACCAAACCAGTCCAGTGTCTGAATGTTTTCTACTGTATGTGTTAACAGCTTAGTGCTAAATAAAGTGAGCTGCTCCCATTAAATTTTTATTACATTGTAAGGAGATACTGTTATGTAGTACAGGGCTTTATACTTATGGTTGCCTGGAGTTACAGGTCTTATGTCAAACTATATGAATATGTTGGTAAATATTTCAGAAGTGATCTGAGATATCCAGCAAACAAGATCTGTGTCTCAATGAAGTGTTGGTTAGGTACTTTTGTCATAAATACCAAGGTGAACCTTGAGCTTCTATATTCTCACTTACTATTTTGTAAACTTCATACTGTGTGGTATCACACTAAAAAGGGCATCCCCTTTGCTGGTTTGTCTTGCTACTTAAGTCTAAGTGCTTTTTGCAGTGGGAAATACACTGTTCAGTACTATACAGTATGTTATAGCTGGATTTCACAGAAGGTCCAGGAACAAGCAACCCTACAGGCCTGTATGTTTCTATTAAAGCTCTAAACAAGGCCAGGAGAGCAGTCTCAGGTATGCAGCCTGTATACCACAACCACCTTGCAGTGGCTAAACTTGGGAATCAAAGTATGTGCTGACTTATTTTCATCTGAGCATTGGGGTATAATACTGTATCTATTCTTTGGTGTGAATTCCTAGCATGTCTATCATAGACACTGAGTTCTCTGCAAAGTATAATACCTGTCATTCATAAGTAAGGTAAAACTAGTCTGTTTTGCAGAATAACTTGATTTAGGATCACCTGAAAAGGTTGAAATCACTATCTTCTTTCTCAGGAGAGATGCCAAAGCCCATAGGTTATAGACAAGATCAAGAAACAGGTCACTGTAAAATATATGGGATTTATATATTTTGTACAAGCACAATACCATTTTTCCTTTTATGGTTGATGAGGACTGATCTTATGTTTTCCTAGTATGTATGGGAGAGGTCCTCTTCAGTCAGGCAGTTGTCAGTCTTAGCCTTTCAACTGACATTTCCAAGTTGAAAAAGCACCAAAAGTTGTGCAAATCATAAAATCACATGTTGAGTGTTAAGCTCTCAGTGTATATAGCACTATGTACGTATGTTAAGACAATTCTCCCTGACACATAGGGTTCACCCTGCCCTTCAAGCTGCTTTCAGACCATTCTTAATACAGCACAAGTTTAGGCAAACAAATAATTCAAGCTTGCTCTAACAAATGACTAGCTGGAAAGAATGCATGGGGAGGAAAAAAAAAAAAAAAGCTTTAAAAAAAACCCAAAAGTCTTGGATAGTAATAATATAAAAGACAGCTCTCTGTAATGGTGCTAGGTGATCTCCTAATACTCCTCCCTTTCCTTCCCTCTGTCTATCAATCTTCCATGGGTTATTCTCTGAGATTTTATCTGTTCTGAAAGGAAACTTCGGATGTTATTCAAAGCAACTGTCTGTGCTTTTTTTTTTTTTTTTTTTTTTTTTTAAAAACACCATGTCTAACTTTCTGGTTTCAGTTCCAGTGTTAATCCAAATATGATCTGCGGATAGAGCTCAAAATATGTTTGCAAGGATCTTGGTTTTTTTCAGATTTCTCTTAGAATTAGATGTTATTGGATGCTAATGTAGTAGTCTTTCTCTTGTACTAGTGTATTAGATTTTCTTTCTTACTTGAAAGTACTTTTGAAATTGTAATTTTTGGTACACGTTTTGATTTTTACCTTTTTTTCTTTTAAAGTGTTCAAGTTATTACTTCCTCTTACAGGACTGGAATGTTAAAACTTAATTTCTAGTCTACTGATTGCTCTTTGTGGCACACATGGCTAAGTGTAAAGTAATTGAGACAACAAGCATGTCCTTGTTACCCTGTCCTTGAATTTTTTGGGGGAAAGAGGTAGAGTTGCCATTAGTCCTATTGAATTGAGACCTCTTAAACAAAAATTCTGGAAGGTGGAGGAATCTTCTGGGATGATCTGCTGGGAGTTAAGAGAGCTAGATCCAGATATATTTCTCCTGCTTTCTGAGAGTGCTCTACCATCAGGTAAACTAACAACTGGGCAAGACTACATCTGGCCTCACGTCAAAAGCAAAGAGCAAGCTTGTACGAGTTTGCGTGTTCTTTTAGGTATGTGAGGGTTTTGTGTTGGTTTTTTTTTTGGGGGGGGGGGTTTGGTTTTTTTTAGAAAATGAGTATCTGTTATCAGTAGACACAATTTGCTGATCCTGACTCATACATAAGTTCTGTAGAAGGAATGAAAAGTCAGACTCGTTCATGTTGTGGGTGGGGAAGGAATTTTTGGCTACGACTACATATCTAGTTTGCTTAACTTTGGCTACCTAGAATGTAGACATCGAAGTCTGGCTGAGTTGTTTGATAGTTGCCGACACCTGTTGTTGGCACCCTGCTCACACCTAGTAGGTACTAGGCTCCTGGAGTGGAATCTAGAAGTCCAGATTGCAGAGAGTGTGATTACATGAAAGTACTAACTGTTCCACTCCATTCCTGGCACAGTCCAATGTCCTGTACATTGAGCTAAGCTGGGCCTGGCCTGGCCTAGTGTCAGCTTGCTTTGTTAGTATGTTATCATGCCATGAGCTGCAGGTTCTGATTACACCAATTCTGGTTGTCCATTAAAGACTGTAAGGAAGTTAGTGACCTGTCTCTTAAATGTGCCTGAGACCCAGTTAACTTCCACACTGAGGGATATGGTGTAGTTGGGAACTGTCAGTGTTAGGTTAATGATTGGACTAGATGATCTCCAAAGTCTTTTCCAACCTAGATGATTCTGTGATCCTGTCAGGCCCCATGGGCTTATAGTCTGTACATCTTATTTAAATGTTCTTAATCTGATTCCCCTCCAGTAAGTCTTCCTTGTTCCAGACATTCCCACAAGCCAGGGAATCTGGAAGGCAAGTCTTACAAGTAAAGACCAAAGCAAAGAAGACATTTTCTGTGTCTTTTGTCAACTGTTCCCCTGTCCACACCAGTGCGCTCATGTTTTCTGCCATCTTTCGTTTGTTGCAGACATGCCCATAGCAGCCCTTGATGATCTTAAAAGCCCTTGCCGGTTCTGCTTTCGGTGGGCTTTGCCTTTCTTCACCACACCCTTCATGGTAAGACAACGTCTCTGTATTCCTCCTTGTTCACTTGCCCCTGTTTCTACCTTGTGGTTTTTTGTCGAGTTTATTCAGGAGCTCCTCGTTCATTTGTACTGGCTTCCTTCCACCTTTGCTTGATTTCACGCACATCAGGATTGTAGAAGGAGATTACTGAAAATCAACCAACTCTCCTGGACCCTTCTTCTGTCTAGGACTGTCTGCCTTAGCTTCCCTTCCAAGCAGATCCCTGAACAGGCCAACATCTACTCTCCTGATGTCAAGGGTTATAATCCTGCTATTGATTTGATGACTAAATGGTATTTGGTTACACTAGTTGGTCTGCTGTTGAGGTAAAAATATTTTCTCTACTTCATGATGCTTTTTTGTGGAATCTGACCCTCCTAATTTAGCTTTGTCAGCGGGGAGACTGTAGGTTCTTTGGGACTGGGAGTCATCTTCTTGGTTTGCTTTGCTTTGATTAGGGCTTCATGCCCTAATCCTCATCCATTCCCCAGTTTGCATCTGTGGCAGGTGCACCCGCCCAATGAGAGCAGAGCTTCTTGGCTGCTGAAGTGTAGCAGCTTTGGGCTGCCTTTGTTCTCAGGGCCTCGTGGTAATCGGGGCCTTTGGCCAATGGGAGCCGCTGTTGACCAGATTGGGCCTGGGGATCAATGGAGTCCCCTGGGGGAGCCATTGGGAGCTCATTCCCTGGAGCAGCACAGTGAGATCGAGGACTCTCCCCTTGGGTCAGGACACTGCCCAAGGAAACTCCTCGAGGTGCCTTGGGTTGGGATGCTGCCCTGAGCAGGTCCTCGAGGTTGAGAGCCCTCATTTGCCATGTGAGTGATAGAGTGTTTCGGGTGGTTGTTAAACCCTAGGTAGCAGGGCTTTGTAAAGCGTTTGCGGTTGTCATTAAACCCCAGGGAGTGGGGCTTTGCTCTGCATTTTGGGTTGCTGTTAAACCCCATAGAGTTCTTTGTTACGTGTTCTGGGTTGCCCTTAAACCCTAGAAAGCTGTTCTGTTCTCTCACAGACATTCAAACCTGTAATTTATGGAGAGCTATTTAACTGTGTTAATAATATTTTTTATTATTATTTTTGGTGCTTGGTTGTTTATTTGAGAGCTTCCGTAACAGCATCACAGCATTTGATATGTAGGATGTACATCTACTGCATCCACTAGTGCAGAAACTGCTTGAGTAGTAGCTGGAAAATTCTGCAGCTAGGAGAAACATTGTTCTGTTGCTAAATTCTTCTGTATTCATATGGCACAGTAAATCCAAGTGGGATTTTTAAAAAAAAAAAAAAAGGGGGAAAAGTTTTATTTCATACTAGCTGTAAGATGAATATTCAAGTTACTGTTGGGACAGTTATCTTTAAATTGAGGCTGCTATGTCCTTCTTTCTAAGCATATTTGAGAAATTATTATGGATACTTTGGTG